GGCATCATCAAAAAGGGGGAAATTGTTAGTACCCAACGTTGATAGATTTTGATGATGCCACTATACCAATAAATGAACACCTCCACCACCTAATAAATCATGACTAATAAAATGTATCAAATAAAGTATACTGAAAACTTAAAATACAATAAGGTAATTTTTGTTACCTTAAAAAGGATATTCAAATCCTACCAGTATAACTTTATTTAATACACAAATAAAACTAAGAAGTGGGAAGTGTTGAACAAATGCCCCAAATAAATTTTTGCTGGAAAATAAGAAATTCACTAGGGTAATTGTTTTTACCCTAAGAATATACAAAAGATCCTTCCAGTACATAATTTACTTGGTGCACAGTGACATGCAGGGATAAGCCGTATAACAAAGGCGTAAGGCTAAAATGCATTTAATGCAAGAATTGTACATGGGTCCCAGAAGATGATGATGCTACACAAGAAGTGATCTCTCGGAGAAGAACTGATCGGCAAAGATTATCTCCTTATCTTGCTCCAACACATGAAGACAAAAAGTACAACTCTTTCAGCGACTACGATCAACTCCTCTCAACCAATGGAGGAGATTGATCTGCTCAAAAGACCTATAAAAGTAGGCAGAAGCATGAGTGCTAAAATCAAGTTTTTGAGTTATCTAAGTAGAGTGTACACTTCAAACATTCAAGAGATATCTAGCAAAAGAGAAAGTGCACGTTAAACTTTGCTCTCTGCTTAGACTCATGCTTCACTAAGCTCTTAGACTAGATCATACACGATTATACCTTTAGAGCTTAGTTTCTAGTTGGAGGTTAGAAATTTTCTTGAAAACAAATTGTTGTAAACACTTATGAGAACAGTTGTTCGGATCCTATAGTGTGGTTAGATAGATAGAGTACCTTTTGATCCCCACTGGATCAACTGAGAAAAGTCTTAAGGTTTGAGTAACTTGGAGTGGTGTTATACTCCTCGAGAAACGCCTTCAATCTAGGCCAGAGTTGTCAAGGCTAGATTGGCACTAATTGTATTGGGCTGAATACTTTAGTGGAAATCCATTTGAAAGAGAATGGGACTGGATGTAGGAGGATTACACCACCTCTGAACCATGATACATCGTGTGTTGATTTACATTCACATATACAAAACACACACCAAACACGTCTCACAGAAGGATTGTAGTTTGTCAGCAGCATCCTAAGCAGTAGTCTTAACTGACCCTACTGCTTATCCTACTGCTTAATAACTCACTCTCCTTAAGACTGCTTTCCACAAAGAAGATTTCAAAAACTCAGAAGGTGTCTCAGCAGTACCCTGGTCTTCACCCACCTGCTGAGTCCACTGCCCACCCATACGTGTCTTTCCAAACTCCATAACAAGCCAGAACAGAAACTATCCAAGAGTCATCTTGTTTCTCAGGAGTTACCTCAGCAGTCCCCTGCCCCTCAGCCAACCGCCAACCCAGCAGTTACCTCAGCAGTGATCTGCCCATCAGGCAACTGCCAAGCCAACTGCTCACGGTTTAAAGTCCAAACATCACCAGAACTAGAAAGCTGTTTCATATTGAGTATAAAGAGGTTAAAGACTTCTGCTGTGCATCTATTAATCTCTCAAAAGATTATAGATCAACTCATCTAGAGGGAAAAGTGTTTCAAAATTGAAAAAACTTTAAAAGTCTATTCACCCCCCCTCTAGACTTTTACCTCTATCCGGGACCATCAATAACGCTATTATTATTTGATTCAAATAACTTTGTAATAATAACAATTATTTCTAATTTCCATTATTATATTATATAACTATCTTTAAATCCTCACACTATTAAAAACATATATTAATATTATTTATAATTTTATTTGTATAAATATTATTTTCACACCTCTTTCATCCCATTCTAAACAGATTTTCAATTTTGCTGAAAACTAAACGTTTTGGCCCTTTTTTTGTGTTATTATAAAAATTAAAACAAAGAATATGAGTAATTTTTATCATATAAATTAAATCTAGGGGAATTCCCCAAATATGACTAAATGAAATTGTATTTCCAAGAATGTGAGTATAACTTCAAAATTTCCTAAAGATGAATATTTTTCAAATTCTACCCTTGCTTTATTTTAATACAATTCATATTTCATTAATGATTAAGACATAGATGTAATAGAATAACTTTATTTATAATTTTTTATTTTTTAATAAATAAAAATAAGAACAAAAATAAATACTCCGTGCGTCCCACTAAGATTAGGACAATTTGATTTACGATGTTTGACCGACTATAAAATAAACAGATCCTTGTCCGCTCTCATATTTAGGATTTTTTACATATTTAGAAATTATAATAAAAGTTTTACACAGTTGCAAAAACGTGAATCAAATTTGATATATAACGTAAGAGATTAAGAGTGATTAAGAGTGATTTAATGATATTCTTTTAGAAAATCACTACCTCCGTCGCACTATAAATGTGATATGAGAAGGTGTGACTATTAAGAAAAGTCAGTTGTTGTGGTTGATATTAAATTAATAAATTAAAAATAATTTAGAACCACATAAATATTAACAAATTTAGTATGAGGCAAGACAGATAAAAAAGGAAAGATGGGAGAATTTTATCACGATGAAATGATTATAAAACCAAAAAATACTCCCTCCATCCCAATTTGTAAGATATATTTCTGTTTACGATGTTTGACTGAAGATAAAGCAAATTGATCAATGTCAAGACTTAAATTAGTTCTTGAAAATAAAATTTACATATTAAAAAGCTACATTAAATCCGCTATAAAACCTGCAAAAAATAATTCAAACTTCATAACATTTTGATATATAAATAAAATATTAAGAGTGATTTATGTTGACCAAGTGAATAGTAAATGTATATTACAATTTGGGAATGAGGGAGTATAAAATATGTGAAAATAATATTTACTCCCTCCGTCCCTTTTTAAATGTCCCGTTTTACCATATTGGGATGTCCCTATTTAATTGCCCCATACCTTATTTGGTAAACTTTGTGTGGCTCAAAATCATTCTTACTTTATTCTTACTTTATCAATTAATATCAACCACACAAACTCACTTTTCTTAAAATTCGTGCCACCATCTCCCGTCCCATTTAAAAGGGGACGGAGGGAGTATATATTAAAAATATTAATAATATTGATAGATGTTATGAATCTTTCACAAATATTCTTTAGCTTATTAGTATAATATAATAACATCAATAAATATACTCTTATTTATTATTATAATTGCAAATTAATTTACATTTATAAATAATAGTGTATGCATATACACTTGGAAATAAAGACATACCACACAGGTCGAACTAGACATATCTAACATTTTGTCCAACTGGCACTTCACTAGAAGTGCATCTCCATGTGTCCATGATTCGAACAAAAAAATCTATTGGTACACATTTTTCACACACACCTACACATTCATGTTTGTGAAGAATATTTTTTTGTCTGTATACAGACATAACGTATTTTCAAATACGTTATGTCTGTATACAGATAAAAAGAAACTCTTCCCAAATGTGAATTTTTTTTGACCGTTTTTGGGAAAAACAAGGTGTGGGAGGGAATGAATGCTCACGTGTTCTACTTTGAAAGTGAAAGAAAAATAAAAAATAAATATGAGAGAGAAATGAAAGGATGGACCTGTTATTGAAGGTCACATTTGGGTGTTTTGACTCAATTGATTGTTTTTTGAAAGTAGACGGGTCTATATGATGTTATTTATAGTACATGGATCTAAGTGATCGATTTGTAATATTACAAGGGGTGTATTTGACACTTTTTCCATTCTTTTTATTACAAAAGGAGTGACTAGTCTATTTATTGATGGAGTAATTCTTATTGCTCTTTTAAGTTGCTTTCATGTGTGTATGTAATCAATTTAATTGAATAGATTTAATAAAGAAAAACAGGATCGAAGATAACGGAAGAAGTGAAAACTAAGAACCAACACTCCCATAATCTACACAGGTTTGGAGCCCGTTTGGTAATCAAAACTTGATACGTAGTACTAAGTACTACGTATTTTTCATTTCACATCCCCAATTAAGATTTGGTCTACTATTTTTCATATTTTTTATTATTAATAAAAAAATATTTTAAATATAATTCTTCCACTATATATTTACCAATTGCAGGAGATTAACTGATTTCATTCTTTCCTTCAAAAAGAAATACAGATTTCATTCTAACTAAACAAACTCAGTTTATATAATTAATTCAAAGTACAAGTGAGTATTTAAAATGTTTTTACTTGGATTGTTTTTAGTCTCAAACTAAAGCAAACCAAATTAAACATAACTATGTTTTTACTTGGATTGTTTTTACCAAATTTAAAATGTTTTTACTTGGATTGTTTTTAGTCTCAAACTAAAGCAAACCAAATTAAACATAACAAGCCCTACCAGACCTAACAGAGCATACTTAAATAAATCATACCAAATAAGACGAAACTAAATTTCGATAATTATAAGTTACACATGAACCAAACATTTATCATACCAAACTAAAAAAAAAATCAATCGGATTAATTACATCCTTGATCATATACCTTACATTCTAAATATGTAGAATCAGGTAATCTTATGATTAGATAATCATATAACTTATCCAGATACTTGAATGGCATAAAAATACTGAACTTTTTGATATTATTCAGGGGTGAAACTTGGAGCCCGTTTGGTAGCACCAAAATGGGCTGTTTTGGCTGATTCTGCTGAAATTAATGATATTCTGGCTGGAGTGGCTGTTTTGGCTGATTCTGCTGATTTAAGAAAAAAATATTTTAAAAATATATTTTATTAATAAATTAAAGAAAAAATTATATGTAAAAATAGCTAAAATGGTCCTCTAGAGTAACTTCAGCCAATACAGCCAGAAAAGTAACTCCAACCTTACTTTTTCGGCTTATTACAAAATTCAGCGCGCGAAAGTAAAAGTTACGTGTTTGGTGAAAAAGCTGGCTGATAAGCCTGATAAGTCGAAAACAAAGTTCTCCAAACAGGCTCTTGTTCTTTTAAAATATTAGATGAAAGAACTTCGATACATTTTCGAATACATTTCAGAATCAGGATAGCACTATCTATGAGTAATACCAGAGTATATCACGAATATATATGAATTCGGTAAGGGTCGGATTGGTATTCGAAGTTGCATAAAAAGGGTCAAATAAGTCCTTATTGTTTGGCCGTCACCATTTGAGGTGGTTCCCGTTGGAATTTTTTGATGAATTTTTTTTAGCATCTTATTCATTAAGTCTTGTTTAGTCATATTAAATTTCAGCTAAAAATTCAATCAGGGAGGTATTCAAATGAATTCTTCAAGATAACTGCGCTTTTAACTGCACAATTATCTTCACGAATTCATTTGAATGCCTTCCTGGTTGAATTTTTAGATGAAATTTGGTATGAGTAAATTAGACTTAATGAATAAGATGCTCAAAAAAATTCGTCAAAAAATTCCACCGAAAACCGCCCCAAATGGCGACAGCCGGACAAAGTCTTCTACATAAGGACTTATTTGACACTTTTTATACAACTTTGAATACCGATCTGACCCTTACCTCGATATGAATTTGAAGCATTAAACCGCTAACAGTTAAGGATAGGAGCTAAAACAACACAATCACTTGTTCTACTCTGTTCTGGAAGGTATACAAGAATCTTCATCCTCATCCAGAATCGTCCCATTCTTGAGAGCCTGGAAAATTACCGAGCTCTTGTCGAAAATCTGGGCCCTCCGATTGTAATCCGACGGCTCTCTTCCTTCATCGTCGCCCATTATCGCCTCCCTCTCCAGACATTCCAACAGCTCAGCCACCCCACCCTTCACCTCCTTACACTTCTCTCTCACTATCCCCATCCCCACCACTTCCTCCGCCAGTTTCCTTTCCCACTCCGGTGCCGGCGCGCCCCTTCCGCCGCATTTCACAGACTTCGGGATCCGCCGGCCGCCGAACCGCAACGCCGGGAAGGGGGGAATCTTGGTTCTGTGTGCGGAAGCGCGTGAGGGGAAAGCGCGTGGCGGACAAACAGATTCCATAGACAGCCCAAAAGACATTACGGTAGGTGAAGAGATTTTATTACAATGAAAAAGTCACGTGAGGGTTTATTTTACCAGTAGGAATGAATCGGTGGCGTGGAATTTATACAAGGGTCGTATCTGCCACGTGGCAAAAGCCATCAATCGGAAGGAATGAGAACGTGCCATGTGGCCGTCTAGAATATTCAGCGGCGCCCAATAATACAAGATCCTCGCGGCCGGTGGCTAATGATGTTTTGTGTCGTTCGTTTATCCTTACGTGTGCAATTACGTATTCAGTTGCGTAATGAAATTGCACGTTTTGGTCTTCTCATTTCCTTGATCCATCATCCTCAAATTTCTAATAGGAATTCTGGAAAATCATATTAATAGGAATTTAATACTACCTCCGTACAATTTTGTATGTTACTTTTGAAATGACACAATTATTAATAAAGTTGTTGAAAAAATAAAAATTACGATTAAGATTTGGGTATAATAAGTGAAATGTTATAGACCATATATTTATTTCCAAGAGAAAATGAGACACTTAATTTGAGACAAGAAAAAATGAAAGTGGGACAGGTAAAATGAGAACGCGGGGGACATTTTGTATCGAATACTTTGATTATGTATATTAGTAGAAAACTTTGATTAGAGTAAGCTATGTGACACTGCAAAAATCATAATGACGCAACAATTAAAGAATGAAGGAAGTACAAGACAATTATGACCGAACTTCCTTGTTATCTTTGAAGTATAAGTTGTAAATACGCTTGAAAATGCATACTTATACAATTCTGTGACAGTTGTTGTAAACAATTTATGTTCGGTGCAAATAATACTACTATACGCAATAAAATAGGGAGTAGGTAAATTCCTTTTTTTTAGGGAGTAGGTAAATTCCTTATTGATATACTACGTATATGTTAACTTGTAAATTTTGGGTCTTAAAGATGTTGCACATTTGGTGTGACAAATTGGCATAAATGATGTTATGTTTGAAGTAAATACATTAACATATCGTGTAAGGGAGAATTGTCAAATAGGTCCTCGAACTTTCATAAAAAAGTCAATTAAGTCCTTCTATAGGAGACTCTGTCCGGTCGTCGCGATTTGGGGCGGTTCCCGGTGGAATTTTTTGATGAAATTTTTTGAGCATCTTACTCATCAAGTCTAGTTTACTCATACCAAATTTCAGCTAAAAAATTAATCGGGAGCGCATTCAAATTAATTCGAAAACGCAAAAATGCGCAGTTATCTTCAAGAATTAATTTGAATGTGTCCCCGATTGAATTTTTAGCTGAAATTTGGTATGAGTAAACTAGACTTAGTGAATAAGATGCTCAAAAAATTTCATCAAAAAATTCCACCGGGAACTGCCCTAAATCGCGACGGCCGGACAGAACGTCCTATAGAAGGACTTAATTGACCTTTTTATGAAAGTTCGAGGACCTATTTGACAGTTTTCCCTATCGTGTAAATATGTCTACAAATACTCTTTACTTAGGTAGCTCAACAGTAGTTGAGTACGTAAGACAATTGGATTGAGGTACAAATTTTAAACAAACCGTTTTCTCAAAGCTCAAGATAAACTTTTAATAATACTCTTAATAGTTATAATTAGGGGTGGACAAAGGAGTCTAGAACCATAGTAGTTGAGTAAGACAATTGACAAGTTTTAAACAAACGGTTTTCTCAAAGCTTGAGAGAAACTTTTGGTAATGCTCTTAATTTTTATAATTAAGGGTGGACAAACGGGTCCTGGATTATCATTACAGACAATAGCGGTGGGTGCGGAGCGATTCTGATTTTAGGAAAGAAAATGGGCCATGGCGGCCCCTTAAATTATACTTTTACTTTTTTAATTGCCCAAGCCCACTAAACGAGTAAATCACTGTTTTAAACTTGTGGAAATTACCACGATAAAAAAACTTGTGGAAATTACCCGTTTGGACCACTTTTTATGGATGGAAATCTTTTATGTCACCCGATTATTTTTCTTTCAATTTGAAACTTTTCACTTTTAACTTTAAAGTTTTATGTTTCAAAACTAGGTCAGCCCGCCAGATTAACCTTAAATCAGGCAGTTCAAAGTTTAGTTTCAAGTTCTTTATTTCCATCGCCGATTTCCAACTGGAGATGGACGGTGACGGTGTTCCGTGCCTCTCCGTCCTCAAAGCCTCAACACAGAAGATTGTTTGGTTCTCATGATCCTATAGTCATCGATGGATAGAGGGAGCTAGGGAGAGAGAAGCAGAGCTCGCACAAGAGAAGACAAGATGAGAAAGCGATGTTGTCTTTGTACGGTAAAATAGAACTCGATCGATCTTCTCATTTCTGTCTCTGTACAGTAGCTCCCTTCGAGAAGAAGTCAATTTGATATTCTGTTAAGAGAAGGAAGACGGTTCTCGTGGTTGATGTTTGTAGAAGAGAGGTAGGTTCAAACGTAGCTACCGCTTCCTTTTTCCGATTGACAACCTTTTACGGCCTGTTTGGATTGAATGTTTAGAGGTGTTAGTCAGGGACGGAGCCAGGATTTCACGGGGGGCAAGAACGAAAACGTGTATATACATAAACATATTTTATTAAAATTGATGATTAACTAGTTTTTCACTCGTGCATTGCACGGGATATAATTTGTAAGTATTAGAAATATAATTAAGTACTGTCACCTGTGAATCCGTATATAAAATTGAATTACTCCGATATTTTTTAGGGAAAAATAATTAAAATACCCCAAACTTTGAAGGGGTGTGAGGTAAACACCCCAAACTTACATATGTAATTTAATATCCCAAACTTTATATATAAAGTTATTTTGGCACCATGGTCATGTATTATTTCTTTCAAAAATGTTAATTCTTGGTGTCCATTTCATAGTTTAGAATATTTTAACAATCATGAAGATACAATTAGCATTCTAAACTTCGATTGTAAAATAAATAATATTTCCCACACTCTTTATAATTGGAGCTTTTTAATTTGTTATTTTAAATTATGCAATTAACACCATAAATTCACATTTTTAAAAAAAATAATACATGACTATTTTGCTAAAATAACTTTCTATATAAAATTTGGGGTATTTAAATTACATATGAAAGTTTGGGGTACTTATCTCACACTCCTTCAAAGTTTGATGGCTATTTAATTGTTTTTCCTTATTTTTTAAAGTTATCCAACATCTACTGCCCATTCATTCATTATATAGACCTGGACCTTGAAGACAAAAGCTCATACTAAGGATGTTTTTACTTGAAATCTTTTCAGTCCAGATCAGACCAGACTTAAACAGACCAGACCTAAGCAGACCAGATCAGACCGGACTTGACTTTCTTAGTTATAAAATACACAGAAACCAGACGTTTACGGACCAGACCAGACCAGACCAGATTTAAATAGACCAGACCAGACCAGCAAATTACAACCCAAGACTTATTTCATGCAGTACATGACTTATACACATAGATTTGGACAGATTGTAGTTTTTGTTTCTATTATATCTTTGTATTTAAGTAGTGACAGATATGTCGATTTTTTTTTTTGGAAAAGGAGATTTTATTCAAATAAAATAAGAGTACAAAGAGATAAAGGAAAAATAAAATAAAAGAGGTCCATTTTTTATTTTATCTATATGCACACAAATGTGTATATATGCACCTTTTTTTTTAAAATTTAACATTTTTAATGGTTGAGGGTGTGAATAAATAATTTGATCAAATTCAAAGGATTATTTGACCCTTTAAATTGTCACATCATATGCATAGTTGGCACCTTACCGGATGACGTGGCATTGATCGAACTGTTGCCCGCAAAAAATTAAAATTGAGTCCTTTTATCCGGTTTAGAGTGTCAATTGAAGCTTCTTTTTTGTTTAGGGTGTAAATTGAGCATTTCAAATGAGTACAAAAGCCTATTTTTAATTAATATGAAGTACATAAATATTGTTAATTAGGTGGGTGCAAATTAAAATTAGTATTATTAGCAAAAGCATGAAGAAAGCAAGGCATGGAGAACTTAAGAAGAACTAACAACGCTTAGAAATTCAGTAATTTGACAACATAAGCTCCTATCGTTACATTGTTTTGACAAACCTTTGAATAATACAACAGTAGCTTTGGCAGTTCCTTTTCGTATCCATGGGATAACATATAAAACTTCCTTGAATAGAAAGAGTGGAGCTTTAGTCAGGAAGAAAAAACAATTCCGAACTACCAAAGTGAGCAATGTGTTGTGCTAATTATGCGTCTAAAAACCATATTATCTTTCAAGTAAAAGAAAATGCCTAAGCTGCCACAATGTAGTACGTACCAAACAATACATTCTTAGTACACTGGGATTGACACCATATTTGGAGATCAATAAAGGCATGTGCTACATATTGGATTTGATTTGAAATATGCAATACGTACATCTAGATCAACACCATATTTAGACCAACAATGCATTTCATAATTCTTAGGACCTGAAAAAAGCATATTAATATATATATATATATATATATATATAGTGAGGAAGAGGATAGGACACATCCCACAATATAGTAACAACCAACTCATTCTCAGTAAACTCAAATCACCCGCCATATATAGATCAATGGAAGAATGTGTTACATATTGGTTTACAAATATATAATACATCTAGATCAACATCATATATTTGGAACATATGTTGTCCTTAGCACAGTTACCTGAGGATTAAATGGAGTACATGATTTTAAAGATAAAGGGGTTGAGCTATGTCAGTCCATAATTAGTTCTTCAAACCACAAAATTTTTCGGCAGTGCTTAGTTCAACAAAGTGGTTCAAGACAAAACAGGTTGCTACACCGTCTTGGAGAGATACTTCATGGATGAGAACGTCTGAAAGGCTAAAATGTTAGATGAGCCCATGAAGAGGCCTTACCAAAGAATAAAACCCCAGGTGCATTATTAAAAACTTCATGAACAATGATCTCACTCTCCAAACCACATGGTGAGCAGTTCAGGCCCTTTGAAACTGATTAGGTTGGTTTGATACTCATTTGCTAGTCTTGCCGTCAAAGTTTTTCCATACACTAGTGGGCCGTAAATAGAACACCCTTTGAAG